TGGTTATAGAGGTAATTTGGAGGTTTGGGGTGGGGGAGGCTGACACAAGGGAACAAAGGTGTGTGATGCCAAGTTACCATAGCAACATGTTCTGCTGCTCTGTTGCTCCCAGTCCTGGGCTTGCCCCCAGATGGGATGAGGAGCTTGGCAAACACCAGAACTAAGCTTCTCTGCATGACATTATTTTCTCCATATGCAGTCAAGAAAGGCAGTCGCCCTTCCCCACAAATGATGTTGAAAACGAGGAGCCCGTGTTTTTACAAAGTGACTTCCTGTCCTTTCTTAGAATGAGACTGACCGAGACCCCATGCTTTCCTCCAAGGCCTGGGACAGTTTTAAGTGCTCATTGGATGGCTGTGTCAGGAACAAGTGATCAGAATTTACTCAGAACTCCCAGGTTAGAAGAGAACATCATGGCTTATGGGCGAGAAGAGGCTCCTAAATTATACTCAAGGACTCTCAGAAAGAAGATCTAAATTCACATGCCACACACTTCACTGTCTGTTCCAAGCCACACATGTTTACATCTGGATCTAGCCTTTATTGAATTTCTTCAGCCTGTGGCCACATTTCCTTCAAATATTGTGCTATTATTCAGACAGGGCAGAGAGCTGCACCACCAGTGCCATTCAACCTGCCATTCTACACCCATTTCAGATGTTGTGGGGACAACATGTAACAATGTCTACTTAGTGGACACTCTGTTCTCTACCCTTCTGCTGAGATCTTGATGGAGAAGGGAGCCTGCCCTGGCCGGCATCTGGGTACATCATTTTTTCCTCATAAAGAACAGAGACAAATCTTCCTGGAGCCAGGACAGCTGTTTTTGAAATCATTCTCACAGAACTGGAAAGTCTCACACAAATCCAGAAGCCAGGCTCTCAGTTCTATCATGGAGGCGGTGTTGGGCTGGGGTGTCTCATACTCAAGAGAAACTTCTGTCTGCTTCTCCTTTACTCCAATAGTCTTACAGTTTTTGAAACAATCTCTGGGCCCCTGACTTCCTGGAAGACACTGTCATCTTGCAGCATCTTTGCTGCTGCATGGAACCTCCCAAGCGTAAGGGGGAAGGACAGAGAGGCATCCTCAACCTCACAGCTGTGTGAACTGCCTTAGCCTGCTAATAGCAAAAACCATGCTGGCACTCCCAGGAGTCTCCAGTTAATCCCCACAGTGGTTCTGGGAGGCAAATATTTTTCATTCCTGTTTTATCTTTGAGGAATCAGGTCTTAGGAAGATAATATCAGCAGTCCATAGCTGAGCTATTATTTAAATTCTGGTTCTGGAGATACACTTACAGCGAAAATAGCCAAAAGCACCAGAAGCAGCCATTAAGTTTTGCCATTGTCAAAACTTGGGGAGAGGAAAGGAAGAAAACAGGTACAAACAGAACCCTAATAAGTCTGGGGCCCTAATAATGCTAATTTTAGACCTTAACTGTAATAGCATATGTGTTGTGGTTGGTGGCAACAGGAAAGGATCGAACAGGAAATACCATGACCCAGATTCTGGCTAATGAGCAAGATTAACAAATACCAGAGCTGGCTCTGCTTCTAAGGCTGTCCTCCAAGACCCATCTCCTCTCTGAGAGCTTTTCTGAGAGACTGTATGCTTTCTAGAACCAATCCTTTGCTCTGTGCTCCACTGCCTTTTGTCATAGCTTGGTGACAGCCCTCCCTTATCACAGTGGCGTTTGTTTTTACATTCCCTAGTTGGTTGAGCACCTTGAGCACTGTGTCTTTGTACCCAGGACCTCAAACAGCAAAGTCTCAAGTCAGTGTTGCTGCTCAATAAATCATGCCCTTTTCCTAGTCTTAGTTTCTCAGTTTTCATCAGTATCTCATTTCCTTTACATCCTGTCTTGGCGGGAACTGGTATTCTTATTGGCTGCTTAGCATATAAACCCCCTTCTCATATCTGGGGAAACTGCTATTTTACGACACAGAATGAGAGAGTATGCCTTCCACTTATGGAAATTGGAGGACAGCAGTTGCCCTCCTGGATCTGTGGCAGTTGGAGCAAAAGACCTAATCTCACTGAAGACTCCAAATTTGAAGAATGACCTAAAAATCTTGGAAAGTTTAGAATTTGTGCTAGTGGTGAAGTATAGAGTATTCTAACTAGCATGTTTCTGTAGTGTTATCTTACTTGTGTTTCCTGGTTGTTATTTCAGTATTCTGTCTTTTCTGAGACCTTCAAGGTACCCTCCAGTAAATTCCTATTTTGATTACATTAGTCAGAACTAGTTTCTGGGGTTTTTTGTTTGTTTGTTTGCTTTTTGTAACTAAAAGGCCTGGCTGATAATTTTGTTGATCCCAAAATTCTTGGTCTTAGATAATGGGGATCCAAAAGTCAACAAATAACTTACTCGTGGTCCAAATCCAAGACAGAGATGTGGGATGACCACCTCGTTTGCTGCACTATTATCTTTTCACACTCACTTCCAAAACCTTAACTGCAGTGGGCGCAGCTGCAGGCAGTAAAACAAGGTTTGAAGATTGGAAAAGTAAAGGTTAATAAATCTAAACAGCCTCTCTGAGGTCCCCATACTAGTGGGGGAGGCCTAATTTTCAAACCTCCTGATTTCCACCCTAAGGCGTTTCATAGCAAAAATAACACTAAATGATTAATTTTCATTGATTTAATAAATTCATCTGCAAACATTCTCTAACCACCAATTACGTGTCTTTATCAGGACCTACTGTGGTTTTTGTTTTGTTTTTTTCCAAGACAAGGTTTCTCTGTGGCTTTGGAGGCTGTCCTGGAACTCGATCTGTAGACCAGACTGGCCTTGAACTCACAGAGATCAGCCTGCCTCTGCCTCCCAAGTGCTCGGATTAAAGGCATGCGCTACTACTGCTCTACTATGTGTTTTCTAGAAAGTACTCTAAGTGTGATTATTGTGATGGTCAATCTCAATTGTCAACTTGAGATCTAGAATCATGCTGCTAGGCATGATGGGAGGGATTACCCTGATTAGATGAATTGAGGTGGGAAGAGGCATGACGTGAGGGACTGGAGGAAGTGAAGGCCTACCAGGCCCAGAGATGAGCCAACCTGGAGTCTGTCTACTTGGCACTGTCAGAGGTCCTGATCCTGCCAAGCAATGAGGGGTGACTAGGTGATACTGCCTGAAGCTTAGCAACAGGCACTGTCAGAGATCCTGATCATGCCTGGCCAATGAGGGGCGGCCACTCTTAATGCATCTTAATGCCTGGGTGCTAGGAGGGTATATAAGGTTCTTCCCATTGCTAAATAAGGGAGTCTCCTGTTTTCCCTTTACCTGACCCCTGGTATCTGAGTTGTTGATGTGGCCCCTTCTCAGCCCCTCCCCTGGGGAAGCTGTTAGGACTCAGCAAAAAGGCATTACTGTGATTAAATGAATCGAGGTGGGAGTAGGTAGGATGGGAAGGATTACCGTGACTAGATTGACTGAGGTGGGAAGGCTCATTCACTGTGAAACTGGTTTGGGGAGTACATTAGAAGAGTTTGGAGGAATAGGTGATAAAAATCCTAAAAGTTTGTAAACAGACATTAATAGGCAATTGTCCTATGAGCTCAGAAGAGAGAATGTTGTTAGAAATGTGGACTGAGATGTAGGGCTAAGAGATGGCTCAGAAGTTAAGAACATAGGCTTCTCTTCGAGAGGACCTATGCTCACACCTGTATGTAACTCCAATTCTAGGGAATCCAATACCCTCCATGCAGGCAAAACACCCAAGCACATAAAATTAAAAGGAGGAAAAGAAAAAGGAGAAATGTGGACAGTGGAGATTGCACTTAATGAGTTTCAGAGGAGACAAATCTCTGTGGGGAATTGGAACACAAATCTCTGCAGAGGCCATGACATTCGTCTCCACTTTGTCAGTGTCCTGAAACTTAATGGGAAGCCAACTTTAAAAATGGCAGAGTGATTTGGTAGGGGAAATTCCATGAAAGGAGAGCATTTGAGATGTGGCACCATTATTTTTAGATACTTTTAGCCAGGTTTACAGCAAGATTCAGGAGCAAAAAAGTATAGAAAAGCTTGAAAATGTGTGTGCTCTTACTAGAAAAATAAGTAGTTGAAATAAAGATGTGGCATTACAGAGGTTAGTGCCTTTAAAAAGAACAAGAAACGGAAGAGGAGGAGAAGGAAAAAACACTTTTCATGGGAAAATATGAAAGATACTTTGAAGGCAACTGAGGGATTGGCCAGATCCCAGTCATCACAAGTTTTAGGGTGTAAAGTTGTAAACTTGTGAACTCATTTGAAAGAGAGATCTTGGGGTATGTTGCTCCCACAGGGTTTTTCCCCCGCTATTCCTACTTGCAATAGAATAGCTGGTCACCATTTTGGGTGTTCTCAAAACTAAAGGAGGTGAGACCTAGCTGGAGAAGGTAAGTCATGAGGAACAGGTCTTTGGAGATATATTATTTCTGACCTGCCTCTTCTCTACTTCCTCTTCTCTTTCTACTTCCTGGCCACTACCATGTGAAGTGGCCTGTTCTACCATACTCTACCCTCACTGCTAGACTGAGGATGAGAGGCATCAATGTACAAACCGAGCTAGACTGCTTGTAACCAAACTGACGGTCTGACTTGTTCCTTGCATGTGGTATGTGTTGTCAGTGTCTTATTATACCCTCTTAGCCCACACTTCCATATGCTGAGGACAGCCTACTCAGAATACCTGTTGACCCTGCCTGAAGAGTGTGCTTGACTGTTATGCCAGAAAACTGGGAATGCCAGAGCAGACATCTTGAAAAACAGCCCTAAAACAACGATACCAGTGAGACTAGTAGAGAAACGGCCCCATCTCCTGCTGCAAAATACTCTGAGCTCTATTGTTCAATGTCTTCCAAAAAATTCCCAGTGGGATTCAGCTTCAGGTAACGTTGGTGGTGACCTGCTTGATAGTACACAATAACTAGTAACCCTTCCCCTCTTTGCCTGGCATTCCTACTTGCCAACTGGGTTTTTTTTTTTTCTGGGATCACCTCCAAAATAAGCTACTCACAGTTAACTTCTGTTCCCACGGTCTGCTCCTGGGGATTCCGACTAAGATACCAAGTGCACTTGGGGGAAATTATTCAAATCAAGACCTGCAAAAGAAAGATGGCATTACTTTTCTCCCAGAGACACATTCATGAGACAACCTAGCCTAGTTCCTGACATATAAGCAGTCTGGTGCTGGGTGCTGGTATGTCTGGAGCGCTTCTGGGTTTAGAGTTCTTACCTCATACTGTCTCACTTCTTGTTTCTCAGAGAAGCGATGTTGACCCAGCTTCATCTCTAGTCCAACCTCAGCTCTGGTGGCCACACCACACTTCCTGCCTGGCTCCATGCCAGATGCTATCCCTTGTTTTAGTCCTGCTCACCCATTGTGACATCTCTGAAATTGACCCATCTCTCACACATGTGTAATCCAGCATAATAGTCTCATGACCTCCGTATAGTTCTTCCTTGTGCTTGTCAAGCTTCCACTCAGGGTTATCTATTCCGCAAGACTTTTCCATTCTCCCTCCTTTTTCTTTTCTGTCTATATCACACAAATACATGCACCGAGGGCACGTAGGGAGGACACCTAGCACAGGCATGTTTTTCTCTTTGAATGCATATTGTGTGCGTTCTTACTTCTCTCCTCCTTCATGAGAATGAAATATCTGTCTATAGCAGAAACTGTATCTTACTTCTGTATTTCTGATGCATATCTTAGCACCCAGCTTTCAAAATTGTAAAATAGTTTTTTAGCCAGGCAGTGGTGGTAGATGTATTTAATCCCAGTATCTGAAGGCAGAGACAGGTGGATCTATGAGTTTGAGACCAGCTTCGTTTACATAGTGAGTTCCAGGACAGCCAGGGCTACACAGAGAAACCTGACTTGAAAAACAAACAAACAAACATACATGCATACATACATACATACATACATAATGTAAAGTCATTTTTAAAATTAGACAAATTTAAAAAAATATCAACTCAGAAGAATTATTCCTATATTTTCAGTTGAGGAAACAGGATCAACTTTAACTGACTGTATTCAGTTCAATGCAACTACTAGGTGGTGGATAAATGACTCAGAACTGACCATTTGACTTCAAAGTTGGACATTTCTTCCACTGCACGTTAGCTGTGAGCACTTGTACTAGAGATGCCCGCCTCACTCTCACATCCCCTTCTTAGAAAATCATCTATGTACAACCTTAGAAGGAAGCTAGGTTTCCATCCCAAATGACTGAGTCTCCAGACATGGTTGATGGCTGAGGAGGAACTGAGAATCTGCAGAGATGATCAGCTGCCTACAGCTCTGATCCTCTAAGGTGACAGAGAATAGGGCCGCTGAGCCTGATATTGTGGAGTCTTTGTTTGGTGGTCATGTGATTTGATAAGCTGTAAGAGTGGATCTAGGATCTAGTGGATCTACAGTTCAGTAGTTACAATCACTTGCTCTTGTAGGTTACCAGAATCCACACGCAAATTAGACTTTTATTTTGGCCACCAACCAGTTCCTAAATCATGACACAGAGACTTATTATTAGTTTTGAATGCTCAGACTAACTTAGCTCATTTCTTGCTAGCTCTTATAACTTCTCTTCATCTACATTTAACCTTGGAGCTTTTTTACCCTTCTTCTCCTTCTCCTTCTCCTTCTCCTTCTCCTTCTCCTTCTCCTTCTCCTTCTCCTTCTCCTTCTTTTGTTTTTTTGAGACAGGATTTCTCTGTATTGTTTTGGAGGCTGTCTTGGAACTTAACTCACTCTGTAGACCAGGCTGGCCTCGAACTCACAGAGATCCGCCTGCCTCTGCCTCCTGAGTGCTGGGATTAAAGGCGTGAACCACCAATGCCCGGTGCTTTTTTTTTTTAACCTTACTTTCCTTCTGTATGTCCTACTTTCCTGTTTCTTCTGGTTTCTGGCCCTGGGCATGTCCCTCTCTTTCTTCCTCATTCTCTTCCCCCTCTACTTATTTCTTATTTCTCCTCCTACTTATTCTCTCGGCCCACCAGCGCCCATCCCCATCCCTCTCCTGCCTAGCTATTGGCCATTCAGCCTTTTATTAGACTAATCAGGTGCCTTAGGCTGGCAAGGTAAAACAGCAACACATCTTTACATTATTAAACAAATGCAGCATAAGCAAGTGTAACACACTTTCACACAGATAAAGTAATATTCTACAGCATAAACAAATGTAACATCTTTACCTAGTTAGAATAATATTCCACAACACACATGTTGTCTTACAACATCTAAATTCCAGTTTCAGGGGATCCAATGCCCTCTGATTGGGGGGGCAGTACACAAGCACACACATGATTCACATACATGAGTGCCAGCAAACACACACATAAAATAAATAAATCTTAAAAAAAGAAGAGTGGATCTAACTTGAAAAACACAGAGTAGACACCAATTGGGTGGGAGATAGAAAAGAACGAGGGAGAAAGAAAGAGAGGGAGAGCAAGAGGTGGGAGAAGGGAGAGGAGAGAGAGGCTAACTTTAGTTTTTGATAATTCCCATTAATTATTGACAAATTAATTCCACTGGGCCCCAAATTCTTTTTGTAGATTTATTTATTTATTATGCATACAGTATTCTGCCATGTATGTCGGCAGGCCAGAAGAGGACACCCGATCTCATTATAGATGGTTGTGAGCCACCATGTGGTTGCTGGGAATTGAACTCAGGATCTTTGGAAGAAGCAGTCAGTGCTCTTAACCTCTGAGCCATCTCTCCAGCCTGTGCCCCCAATTCTTAATGGCCCATTTCCTTTTCAGTTAATTCAGCTCATTTTTCTGTCCCACATCTATATAAAGCTGTGATTCTTCCTCATGAACATCTCTGTAAGTATGGTTTCATGTTCACAATACATTTCTTCATAGTCTACCTGCGATGAAGGTAACTGCCTATGAATGTCACAGGTTACCTTGGAAAGAGATACTGAGGGAAATAGGATTGGGTATATGTTAGGGATCAATATGTGTGAAGGAGGAAGGGAGGAAGTGGAGTGCAGAGAGGAGGAAGCCTAACTTCACAGAGGGCCTGAGGGAGCCTCTAGTCAAGCAAAGGCTCTGGAGCACATGCTGTCCTCCAGAGCATCCTGACTGGATCTTTTTACCTGCACCCCTGGACATAGATGCCTGGGGATCACTCAGTCTTGGGCAAACTGATTTTCTGCAGCTGAGACAATCCAGAAGGAACTGGGAAGTTGAAGACTGTCTTCTGACCATACTCTATGTTTGGACAGCAAATCCTTCCTAGAGGGGCAACTCTGCTTATCTCCTTGACTGTGCCACCCTGTGATAAGGTGCCATGATTTTTTATTCTGAACATCTCATCTAGCTACCTAGCATGTCTGCTGAAGGTCACACATTGTGTTATTGCCAAGTCACACAGTAAACAAAACAGTTCTACTTTTCAATTAAGATCTTAATCTGAAGTGATCCAAGAGGCCAGGAAAGGGATATCTCCCTTTCCTTCTGTTCTAGTTCAGTCTCTTTCTTTGGTTTTTGGTTATTGAAGAAAGTGTTTTCCTACCCACTAAGTATGGTCTGTTAGTAATAAATCAGTTTCTTCATTCTCTGGAACTGCTTCTTCTATGTCCTTTGTCAACCCCACTTCTCCACCAAGGTGCTCAGTTTCAGGAGTAGAAACCAAGGGTCATGGAAAATATACTGCTCCCGAGTTTTGCTTTTCCACAAGAAGCAGTATATGTCAGCCTTCTACCAGAAAACATGGTAGGTAAGAAATGCTAGTCACATTTGTATTAGTCAGGATTCTCTAGGCTCATGTGTATGCAACTGTATGTGCATGTGTGTGTGTGTGTGTGTGTGTAAGAGAGAGAGACAGAGACAGACATAGAAAGGAGAGACAGGGAGATGTTTTGTTTTAATTTTTTCATTTATTGTATTTTATGTGCATGGGTGTTTTGCCTGCATGTATATATACACCATATGTATGCCTGGTACCAGAGTGCATCAGATCCTTCAAGACTAGAGGCACATGTTGTGAGCCATCATGTGGGTACTGGAAATTGAACTCAGGTCCCCTGCAAAACCAGTCAGTGCTCTTAACCACTGAGCCATCTCTCCATCCTCCAGAGCCAACTTAGGCTATGTGCTGACAAGGCAGGAGTCTGCAGGATAGCCTGCCAGCTGCAGAGCCAGGAGAGAGCCAGTGCGACAACTCAAGTCTGGAGGTCATCTGCTGAGATTTCTTTCTTGCTCAGGGGAAGCTAGTGTTTTGTTCTATTGGTTGAATAAGGCCCACTACATTATGATCCTCTGTTATTCAGAGTCCACGAATGTAAATGTTAATGGCCTCCAAAATGTTCTCAAAGAAACATTCAGAATCATGTTTGAGTAAATATCTGGGCCCTGTGACTCAGAAAAGCTGACAAAGTTAACCATTGTAATAATATAAGTTGAATTTTTCACAACCTCAGTTTATAGCAGAATTCCAAAGTAGTTGAGTGAGTGCCAGTTGCTGGGAGACCCGCTGCACCAAAGGCCTGCATGGTACTGAGCCTAACAATACATCAGCATCAAAGGGGACAAAAGGAATTCCAGGAAAGATGGAACCACCAGGCAGACAGAAACATTAGACTTAGAAGACTAGTTTGGCAAACACAGACTCTGGCTTTAATGGTTTCCTTCTGTTTCATAGATGAAGAAAAGGGAAATCCAGTAACCAAACACTTTGCTCTTCTTTCAGATAGACTTAGGAGAGCAGAGTTGCAAAAACAGACCTTTGGGGCTAGGGTGTTTCTCCTCATCACTTCCTGGCATGGGTAACCGAGGCACTGGCTTCTGGGGGGATGTGACGCTTGCTAACTTCTGAAATTCTAGATCCCCGAATGCATCCCTTGAATGGCTTTAGATATAAGGATTCATTCCCATGCCAGCATATCTTCCTGGTATCAGGCTCTATTTCCTGAATAGAAGTGCTCAAGCTCAGTAAGACTGGTGTTGAAAACTGTATCGGTTGCTTTTGCATCACTGAAGTCATGTTTTCGGCAAAAACAAGTTAAGAGAGGAGGAGCTGGCTTTGGCTCACTGTTTCAGACGGTTTGCAGTCTAGCACAGCAGGAACAGCAGGGAAGAAACG